TCAGAATCGAGCTTGAGAATGGTAGAATGGTAGTTGAAGCTTATGGGTATTGCTTACCTTTTCTTTTAAGCCAACGAAAGGGCTCGCGGTGTTGTTGGTTCTGAAAGGAGGATGAAAACAGTGCTGAAGGGCCTTGGAATGTTTTGTCTGATGATTGAGGTTTCTATTGTTGATATGGCTGGTATGATGGATGTTGATATTATTGTTGAAAGAATGGTTGCCGTCGGTACTGAGGACGTTGGTATTTGAATGTCTGCTGCATCAAGTAGTATTGGGCTGTTTTGCGTATTTTATGAGGATTTTCTATTACCTCATCAGTTTTTTTGATTAAACAGTCCAGCTCCATCCAATGGAAGATCCTCTATTCTTGATTTGGCATCATCGGAAAGTCCAGTAAACCGAAGCCATGCGTGGCATCGTAATGCAATAGAAGTGGCTAGAGATTTGGATGCAGCATCTGCAGTGTGGCGAGATGCAATTCTCTGCTGTTTAGCCAGTGTAGTAGCTTCTGTATGAATGTTGATGACCTCTGATTTAACTGATTCAGGAACCGACTCTAGTATAGGGAGAATCCTATTCCATAACTGTCTATGGTATGCTTCCATTACTGCTTGATAGTTCACCACTTGCAATATAAATGAAGTAAGAGAATAAATTCGTCTGCCAAGTATATCGATCTTTCTTCCTTCCCTATTGGTGGGAGCAATGGAAGATTTATTTCTGGCTCTGGATTGATTGGATTCAACTATTATTGAGTCAGGTGTAAGATGCTTGGTGAGGAAGCCAGTGTCGGGTCCATGTGTTTTATAATTATTTTTGGTGTGTCTAGAAATCTGTAATGATGATGGAGTCTTGTCCCAAGATTCTTTAATTAAGTCTAGCATAGCCGGAATAAACTGAGTGGAGGTGTTTTGTCCTGATTGATGTCATCAAAGATCAGGTCGGTTTTGGATGGTGGCAGCTCCTTGATTTTGAGTTGCAGGGACTTGGCCATTCTCGTAACTAGTTGGGAGTGTGAGGTGAAGTCCTCCGACGGTGACAGTGGATGTGTCTGAACCTAGGTCGTGGATAGATGAAGACGATAAAGATGGGGATAGTTCTCCAAGCCTCAGTATCAATAGTCTTGGAGAAGGGGCCCAAAGTTGAAGAGGAGGATGTGTAGGATGTCTTTCCATTTTGGTAGGAGTAGGGGGACCTTTATATGTAGCGGTGACCTGAAGTGATGTCAGACATTTGGAACAGTGTTTGGAATGTTTGAAGTGTGAGCTGTTCTCTACAGCTGGTAGAGAACGTTTTAAAGTTGGTTTGACTGGAAGAGAAGGATAGGTTGATATGGAATGTTGAGATCAGTATCAGTGTCGGGGTGGAGACGGAGAGGGTGATGGTGAATATCGGGATGGGTATGGTAGAGTATATCTGACTCTTTTGGGTTCCTTATAATAAAGTTGTTCTTGAGGGTCTTCAATTATGTAGGGATCATATTGATATCTCTTTCTTTGTCACGAGATTGGTATCGTGATGGTTGTGGGTAGTAATAGTACTCCCGATGTGGAGGGTCGTACCGAGGAGCTGAAAGGTGTTTTCGTTTTTCTCGGTGTTTCCTGGGAGTGTTGAGATTATTCCGAACCAGAAAGCTATATTGGAATTGCCTGCTCTGATAACGCAGGGCTAGAATGGGCTGAGGTTGGGCTGGATTGCACATCAGCCAGAGAAAGGCCAGTAAGAGGCAACAAGCTACCAGTTGAGACTGGAGCTTGGGCCCGAGGTAAGGGAGGTTCTTCCCTCTCAGATGTAGATCCCGGAGCATCTCTGGATGATTCTTCCATGATGGGAGATGGAAGAGTTGGTTGTGGTGGGTCAATATGAGTAGATTTGACCTTTTTTGGGTCTTTTTTGAAGTTGTTTTATCTTCCTTCTTTTTGGGAGAGGCTAGAGCTCAAGTCGAGGTCTTTGACATAGACGTGGACTTCCATTTCTCCTTGGGATGTGGAGAAGAAGTCACAGAGCCAGGAGCTGGTGCTGGTGGAATTTGCTGCTCTACTTGTGGGTTTGGACACCGCGTAGACTCCATCAAAGCCATGGAAGGGTTGAGAGATTTCTCCCCAAGGTAGGACCTCAATCTTTGGAGGTGAAATTTGAGGGCCGTTTTTATTAGTCTCTTGCATGTGGCACAAAAGTGAGTGGGATGTTGTTCACCCAAGCAAAACAAGCAGCAATTGTACCCGTCAGTTAATGGTATCTTGTTGGCCAAACAACATACTGCTTAAAAGGGCTGGGTGAAGCCATAAAGAAAATAGGAAGGAAAAATGGCTTGAGATGGGGGGTGGGGGAGCAAAAAATGTGGGTAAATAAAAAACTAGAACGAACTCACGGGGGAACTTTGATTGAAGGTATGATTGGAAATAAAGATGATCAAAATGGAATGCGATTGATTTGAACGCACAAACTGACAGAATGCTCTATTCTTCCAAAACAGGTCTGAACGACATGGCAGAAAAAAGGAACTGAGGGGATCTAGGATGGGCAAAGCATGCGCTCCACGGGGGAGCATCCCACTAATCACATGTCTTTAAGCTCTAGAAACTTCTGAGACATTCAGCGCAGGTGCAGAATAACCCATTTGTGTGCATTCACAGAGGCCACAAAGAAGAACCAGGGGACATCCACTCCACAGGTGGAGGGACATAATACCAGAATTTTAAGCAAAATTTCATAGAAGAAACTCCTTTGATAAGTATAAAAAGTTCAAATTAATTTTTATTGTGCTGCCAAGAGCCAAATTACAAGAAATCATCTTACATTTTAAAAAGTAAACAAGCAATCTGCCAAATTGCAGTGCACTCCAAGTGCCACATATGCATCTATTTTAATTTTCAGAAAATTATATCTGCATTTCTCTTACAAGAGCACGACAGGAACCAAAGTAAAAGAGTGTAATGGATACAGCACATAGGATAAATAATATCTTAAAAATAATAATAAAATAATATTAAAATAATAACATTTTACACCATGTCCTATATCCTGCTAATATTTCTCAGAATATGGCCTTGATTGTAAAATAAAAGCAAGCATTTACAGTTTCTGGATAAAGACTGCTCACTCTTATGGAGGAATGAATGATTTATCTTGACAGAATCTGGATAATAACTGAATATTAATGTTTGTTTCATAGTTGGGGGCGAGGCTACTTTTTTTGGAAACTGAATTCGTAACAGAAAAAAATGCTGCACCTTTATGATACGCTATTTTTCTCTTTGATGTGAACAGTGAGAACACTTTTTGATATTCTAAAACAAGACATTTGTTAATCTTCAGATTAATAAATTAGGTCATATAATAAATTAACTTTTCAGTTTTAAAGTTCAGTAACCTCTGGCCAAGTATTTACAACAATACTTGAGAGTTCCTTTACAAAAAATACATTTTCTTTTCACATTAAGCATACTGGGTATCCGTGTCTCATGACAAGCAATTGTAAAAGAAAAAGGCAACACACAAGTGGGCAGTTAGTATAAAAGTGCCAAGGCCTGTTTGGAAAAGTTAATGTTGTATGAAAATTTAAAGTTATGAGTCAAGCTGCAACAGACCTCCAGATAGTTGCATACTATATTCCAGTAGTTGTTGCAGACAACAGTTTTCAAATTGTCCAAGCTTTGATGCTATTATTCTATGAAATGGTTAGTGCTGCCTGTATGTCATCAGTGTTATCTAGCCAATGCATTGAATTAACGGCCTTTTTAAGGCCACACAGGAAAAGAAAAAAGAAAAAACAAACGAACCCTGAAATGTAGCAAGTAGCAAGAGTAATGCTTACTGCTAAACTGTGCACCTACTGTACACATATGCAAACACAAAGGCACACAAACGCGCGCGCACACACACACACAAACAATTTCAAATCAAATAAAACTAGGTAGAATGAGATACTCTCGTTTTGTCTTTCCTAAACACAAATGATAAGCAATAATATGGAATGCCTGTGTTTTGTTCTGGAAAAAATCTCAGGTAAAAATACATTCAACTGGGAAAAATACAAAATTATACCGATATATACTGTATATATAAATACCATATATATACTGTATATATACATATATACACAGTGTGTATGCATGTATATGTATCTATACATATACATATACACATACATACACACATACACATATACACAGAGACGTACAAATGCTTTGTTTGAAGCATAACTATATTTACATAAATATTTCTATAAAGCTAAAGTTTTAAAGAAGCATGTCCTCCTTTCTTTTTGAGCTTCCAAAAAGGTGCTTGAGTAATATACAATTAAAATTAAGCAGCTTCATAGTATGAAGTTGCTCCTAGTCTGCATAATCAGTAACAGGAAAAAAACACACACAAAACCTTAACATGATTTTTAAAACTGAGCAAGATCATTCAACAAAATCTCTTTTTTGTGTTCCAATAACAAATTGGAAGCTGAACAACCTGAAATTGATAATGATAAAACAAACACACACACACGCACACACGCAAACTTCTGAAATCAGATGGTGTTTAACTTTTCCTTACCTTCTCTCCTTTTCCAATACTGTTGTTAAAAGATCCAGTGCTCATATGAGGAATTATAGAGGGCCTAGCCATTTGCTAATTGCCAAAATCTGGTCAATCAGCATCAAAAGGAAAACCAAAAAGCAGCACAAGGAATAATTGTACACATTGTCAGTAAATTTGCTCTTTTGTCTTTCTGCTTTAATATATTCCTTGCTATATATGATATTAGCTATTACAGCTTAGGCAGAAAAACATAGTTGTAGATAGACTGCACCTGTGATGTGACAGGTACTCTTTTGGGAGTGTGTTTCTGTAGTATAGCTGAAAATAAGCCTAGATTTTATTATTTAAATCCAGGTGGGGGTATGCTTATACTTCACTGTCATAAATGCAATTCTGGAGTGTCAGGAAAAAGCGGATTCTTAAATACTTTTGACTCCAAGGTAAGCTCACCAGCTTCACTTTTCCTGTTACAACCACACAAGCTCAACTTAATTTCCCCTTCCTAAATGATCTCATCTACTATGTTACAACCGCTTAAGTTTTAGAACTTTGGTTCCAAGGAAACACATGGTCAGTTACTGCAAGGAGAATAGGGAATGCCTGTTCCAGCATACTGCAGGAGTCAGAGCCCATTCCAGTAAGTGTTAGAGCTGTACATGAAGTCACAAACCCAATACAATCCACTAAGCAAGTGCACAATTCTAGTTTCATTTTAATAGCAGATTCAGTCTTTGTTTCTTCTTAACTTCTTGGGAAGATATAATGTCTCACACTGTCTGATAGAAATTATCTGCCTGTAAGTTGTTCTGTTTTTGCATGCTGTAGAATCCACTGTATCTTGAATCAGGGTCAGCAATTCTGAGCATCCTCTGAGAACTGTCCACTTGAACCATAGTACCTTTCTTGCAGTCCACATATACCAGCTGATTGTTTAGACATGACGGCTGTTTGAAAACAAAAAAGGCACAATATATAAAGCTGCCTTATATAAACACAATCTATGAACAGCTAGAAAATTCATTGAAACACCCCTCCTGGGATAATTGTTGTTAAGTGACATTCACAACTTTGGTAACTACTTGTGAATGGTAGAAAGGAAAAGAGGAAATCTTTTAGATCATCCTGAGTGTTGGCTATTTACCATACACACCTGAAAATAAAGTCCCACTGAATTCAAGAGGACTTCCTTCTGAGTCTGTATAGTTTCCTAAAGTACTAGTAATAAACCTGGGCAATTATGACATTATATTTCAATAAGCTTGTGTAGCCAGAATTTATGTACAGTGGTGCCCCACTTGATGACGACCCCGGTAGATGACAAAATCGCTTTACGATGATATTACGATGTTTCTATGGGTGATTTTTGCTTTACGTTGAATAGTTCCCTGCTTTGGGAACCGATTTTTCATTTGACAATGATCTTTACAGCTGATCGTCGGGGTTTCAAAATGGCCTCCTGCTGTGTTCCGGACCTATTTCCGGAAGACAGCAATCAAAGATGCCTTCCCCTATGGAGGATCTTCGCTGGACGATGAGGTATTTCCTCCATTGAAACGAATTAACCGGGTTTTAATGCATTCCAATAGGTTTTTTACTTTTGCTTGACGACGATTTCGCTTTACAGAGATTTTAACGGAACGGATTATCGTTGTCAAGTGGGGCACCACTGTATATGTATATTTTCCAGTGTGAAACAGGCTTCTTTGAGGTCCCGTATCCTGTATGACAGGATGGATCAACTTAAGAAAAGCAAGCTTGTTGCAGGAATCATTTTATTTTCTGGAAGCAGTAGTAGGCATTTGTAACACAAAATTTCACTATGAGCCATGAAAAATTGACATCAAAATGAGGTCATGCAGGTAGAAGGATTTTTTTTTAAGAAATAGGACCTGTTAAAGGTAAAATAAAAGAAGACATTACACTTGTGAATGTTTATGCACCCAATGAGAGGCAGGAAGAACTTTTTGAAAATATATTAAGAAAGCTGAATAAACTAAGGAAAAGTTATGTGAATAGCAGGAGATTTTAATATGTTAATGCATATGAAGAAGGATAAATCAAAAGTGCAAATTGTTTGTTTGATTGATTGCTTTATATGCCACCCATCTGGCAGCCAGGGCCACTGGTTTACAGCAGATAAACAAAACAACAAAGTAACAAAATAATACAGTACATATAAAAATAATAATACAATTGGGGCATAAATCAAATATCATAAAATGCAGTAAAACAAGTACAATACAATAAATTAGAATTAAAAGCATAAAATATAAAAGACAAGAAGCATGGCGGTGTGATGGATGCTATTTTAGCAAACACTGTTGTATCATACAGCTGCTTGTTCAGGGAAGGTCTGCTTAAATAGCCAAGTTTTTAACAGCTTCCTAAACGTGCCCAGTGATGGGGCCAGGCAGACTTCGGGCAGAAGAGAGTGCCATAGTTGTGGAGCTACCACCAAGAAGGCCTAATTTCTAGTGGTTGTTTTCGGGCCCTCTCTCAGCGTCAGAACTCTCAGCCGCCCTGCCTGGGATGATCTTATAATTGGGGAAGGGAGAATTAAATGTACAATATTAAATAAGCTAATTAACAAAACAAATTTGAAAGATGTTTGGAGAGAAGAAAGAGTGAAGAAAGAAAGTTCTCCTTCTACTCACAGGTGCATAATACATATTCAAGAATAGATTATATATTTGTCTCTAAAGATTTTTACAGATATTGAAGTCATTCACATATTGGATCATGCCAGAGTAAACATGGAATTGATGGTTAAATGTGATTATAATGAGATGGCAGGGTGAAAAATTGATACAAATATCTTTCGGTATCCAAACCTGATTGAAACTTTTCACAAAAATTTAGAAGAGACATGGGAAATAAACAAGAAGGGAGGAGGGCAACCTAAGATAATCTGGAACACTATGAAGTCTGTGCAAGAGGGTATGCATGTAAACCGTCTTATATAGTTAAAAAACAGTGGGGAAAGGAATACAGGATTTAGAAGATAAAATAAGGGAATTAGAAAAAATAGTTCTAAGAACTAGGAGTAAGAAAGCTATAATAGAATTACAGGCAAAGAGGAAGGAACTGGAAGGGATCCATATGGAAAAGGTGCAAAGAAATTTAATTTATTTAAAAAGAGAATTTTTGAATGTAGTAATAGGAACACCAAGTTATTAGCTAAAGGCTCTTCTACAAAAAGAATAAAGGTAATATAGAAGTAATTCAAGATCTGAATGGAAAAAGATGTAATAAAATGAAGGAGATATCAGAGGTATTTCAAATATTTTATAAAATGTTATATACTGGTAAAAATCTTTCTATAATTAAAATTAAAAATTATATAAAAATAATTTAAAGAAAAAATGTCAGACGATGATAAAAATAAAATGGAACAGTTAATTACAGATAAATAAATAGATAATATTATAAATAATCTAAAGCTAGGAAAGCCTCCAGAACAGATGGATTAGGCCCAGAATACTATAAAACATTTAAAAAGATTCTCATACCAAAGTTAAAAGTGTTATTTAATAAGATATTAATGGGAGAAGAAATCCCACAGCCTAGGAAAGAGTCATTGATTGTTTTAATATTGAAACCAGATAAAAATCCAATAAATATGGAAGCATATAGATCCGTATCACTGATAAATCAAGACAGACAGGTTACTTACCTGTAACCATGGTTCTTCAAGTGCACCTATGTGAATTCACACAATTGGGTTTAACAGCGCCTGTGCTGGCCTTCTCGGAATCTTCTAGAGCTTTTCTTAAAAAGTAACAAAGTTTAGAGTTGCCCCTATCGCGCATGCTCCACCCACCTCAGCTTTCAGTTCCACTTATCTGCCACAATAGCCTGAGCTTAATATGTGTATAATCAGTGACGGATAGTGGGGAGGCTGGGTGGGATGTGTAGATTAATAGAGGTCTACTTGAAGAACCATGGTTACTGGTAAGTAACCTGTCTTTCTTCTTCGTGGCCTCTGTGAATGCACACAATTGGATGACTAGCAAGCTCACTTACCAGAAGGAGGGCCGTCATTGCAGAACAGATGTCAAAACTGTCCTGCCAAAGCTTGTCTCCTGTTTGGTCCGAAGGCCAAGTCTGTAGTGCGTCACAAAGGTGGACGCAGTAGACCAAGTGGCCGCTCTGTAGATGTCAGGAATGTCCACACCATGGAGCAAAGCTGTAGATGTTGCCACAGCTCTAACGGAATGTCCTTTCAGACCTTCTGGGACAGTTTTGCCTTGCAGTTCATAAGCCAGAGCAATCGTGGAGACAAGTCATCTAGATATAGTAGACGATGAAGCAGGAAAACCCCTGTGTGGTCCTTGGAAACAGAGGAAAAGCTTTGGAGCTGTACGGAAGTATTTTGTCCTAGAGGTGAAATAGGCCAAGGCTCTTCAAACATCCAGAGAATGGAGCATGTGTTCGACATCCGAGGAGGGTTGAGGAAATAATGTTGGTAATGATAGAGATTGATTAAGGTGAAAATCAGAAATAACTTTATGCAGAGAGGAAACATCTGGATATAACATAACCTTGTCTTTGAAGAATTGCAGGTAAGGAGTATCTGATCTATGAGCTGCCAACTCACTTGCTCTTCTTGCAGACAGCAACCAGGAATAAAGGTTTAAATGACAGTAAATGCATGTCATAAGAGGCCATGGGCTCAAAAGGGTGGCGAGTAAGTACACGTAGGACAAGTGTAAGAGACCATTGGGGTACTGGAGGTTTAATAGGGGGATGAATGTTTGAAAGTCCTTTCAAGAATTATTTAAACGTCGGATGAGAGAAAATACGTGCTGATTCAGAGTCTCTAGGTTGACAAGAAAAGATGGCTGAAATATAAACTTTGAGAGTTGATAAAGCCAACCCAGAATCAAACAGGTAACGCAAATATGTGAGACAGGAGATGCCTGTAAGTGTCTTGATTCAGTGAATTTAAGGAAATTATTCCATTTATATTTGTAGAGGAGGTTAGTAGACGGTTTTCTAGCTCTGTCTAAGACCTCCTGGATTGATGGCAAATCTTCCAAGCCGTCAAGTGCAGAGACTGTAGATCCAGATATAGGATATTGCCTGAGTTCTGAGTTAGAAGGTGTGACAACGTTGGCAATCTGAGGGCATCTACAGCCATTTCCCTGAGGGTGGAAAACCAGGGTTGATGAAGATGGCCTGCACTTGTAGCTGCCTCGCTCTGACCAGAGTCCTTTGGATTAGTGGGATTGGAGGAAACAGATATAGTAGATGTGCTTCCCATGGAATCATGAACGCATTCCCAAGGGAGTGTGCACCTCTGCCTGCATAAGATGCATACTTCTCGCACGTCTTGTTGATGCTTGTTGCAAACATGTCTATGTAGGGTCGACCCCACCGGTTGCAAAGCACTTGAAAGATGTCCTCGTTCAGCTCCTGTTCATGGGACTGTCCCATCAAGCGACTCAGTTCGTCTGCAATCTGGTTTTCGCTTGTTCGTATGTGTAGAGCTATTGGGAAGACATGGTGAAGGTAACACCATTCCCACAGATGCACAGATAGGTAGAGGAGGGACATGGATCTCGTTCCTCCCTGTTTGTTGATACAGAACATGGTTGTGGTGTTCTCAGTGATTATTTGTACACCATTACCCTGTATCAGCGGGAAAAATGCTCTGAATGCCTTTATAACTGCCATCATTTGAGGTGACTGATGTGAAAACGTCTGTCTTGACGAGACCACTGGGCATGGATCTTGTGATGCCCGCAGTGTGCCATCCATCCTATGGGACTGGCCTCTGTTGTGACTTGAACAGACAACTGTAGAGGTCGGAAGGGGCGGCCGATTAGTAGATGTGGCCTGAAAGCCCACCGTTGTAATTGCTTTGCTAGTTTCAGGGTAACTAGCAATCTTTTCCTCGGACTGTCTCGAAGAGCGTTGAATAGATGTAAGAACCATGCTTGTA